CGTCCTTACTCGGCATGGGCGCAACACTATGCGTCGAAGCAACGCTACCATACTACTTCGACCCGGATAGTTCGGCAAATGCGCACGCCCTCCGCAGCGCCGTCGCTATGTACTTTGTCTTCTCTCTCTTTTTCACACCCCTCGGTGTGTTGTCGTGGATATACCCCGCAGAGATCTTCAGCACGCCCATCCGGGCCCGCGGAACCTCCGTCAGTACATTCGTCAACTGGTCATTCAATCTGCTGTTCGCACAGTGTGCACCAATTGGACTGTCAAGGTTGGAATATCGATTCTTTTATTTCTTTATGGCGTTTAACTGGGTTGGAGCAGCGATGGTTTGGTTGTGGTATCCGGAAACCGTAGGGAAGACGCTGGAGGAAGTAGAAGACGTGTTTAGAGATGGAAATTTAACATCGAGGGTGACTGGCGTGGCAAATGGGCTTACCCCTGGTAACAGTGGTGGTGAGGAAGCCTCGGTGTCTCCCGCTGGAGGACCTGTACAGGAGACGAAAGGAGCCGTGTAAATGGTGCCGTGGAAGGAGTGATTGGATCATGGGCGTTTGGGCGATGGCGATGGGATGCGTATCTCCAAAACGTGTAGATTTCTTTTCATGGTAAAAGCAATTACTTAGGGTTGACTGGAGCGTAAATACTCCCTCCCTACTTTAAGAAACATCGTCGTGCACAACAACGCTATGAGCAGGGGAAGTGACGGAGAGTGCTAAGGATATCTTATGAACCACTGAGACATACATTGTGTGAAAATCTTCTTCCTTTTTTCTTCATCCTATGTGAATATATCCCTCACAGTATCCTTAGAAATAGTTAATGAACATACATAGTAGCTTCTCAAGTTCAATCCTCCTCCCCCAAACTTTCTCAAACCTCACTTGATATGTGGACAGTTATAACTGACCAAATGTACGCTGTATATTCGCAAGGTCAAATCTGTCAAGGCTGTTTTGCGACGGTATATGGGCAATTTTAAATTAAGCTGCCTAGCTAAAGCGCCTTACTTGCTCTTTAACATTAACAAAATAAAAAAGCATGGGTTCGCTTAGCCGTCGCGAAGCAGGTATCTACAATATAAATATTTCTATATTTCTCCAACTTGTTGCACTCAAAAACCAAGGTGAATGTGTCCTATTATGAAGTTTCGCAAAGTTCACGTAATTTCAGGAATTAGGAAAGAAAGAAATCGAATTAATAGAGTAAAGGAAAGAAAGAGATTCCAAAAATACGACGTGCAGTAGCTTTAAGTTCATTCACTGAAATGTAGCGGTCAGGCCATTCATTTCTCCGCTTACCATCATTATTTAGAGCTGCGTTAAGCCTGAGAGCAGCAGGAAGGCTGCAATAAAGGCTGTCGAGCCTCTAGCCGATGGCTCTGCAGCTCCAGAGTACGTGGGCGACTCAGAACCAACTGTGGCAGTTGGGTAGATGGCAGTGCTCAAGGTATATGGAGTAGCTGGGATAGCCGTATCATAACCTTGATTAGGGAGGGTCGGATTAGGTGGAGTTGTCGGTTCTGTTTCCTCCAAGTAGACCGTTGTTGAAATAGGGATGGTCTTCGTGATAACAGTGGAATAACGGCCAGCTGGGCATGACGGGACAGAAGGAGGGCACGCTGATGCATCTCACAGATTGTGGTGCTCAGCATGGTAGAGGTAGTGTGAA